TAGCTTGGACATTAGGAAAAAATTCCTAACTGTCAGGGTGGTCAAATATTGGAATAAATTGCCAAGGGAGGTGGTGGAATCTCCCTCTCTGGAGATATTTAAGAACAGGTTAGATAGACATCTGTCAGGGATGGTGTAGACGGAGCTTGATCCTGCCTTGAGGGCGGGGGGCTGGACTCGATGACCTCTCGAGGTCCCTTCCAGTCCTATGATTCTATGATTCTATGATTCCCACCACAGGAATGTTGAATGTTATTATATTATGGTCACTATTCCCAAGCGGTCCTGTAACGGTTATATCCTGGACCTGATCCTGCACTCTACTCAGGACTAAATCAAGAATTGCCTCTCCCCTTGTGGGTTCCTGAACCAACTGCTCTAAGCAGCACTCATTTAAGCCATTGAGAAATTTTATCTCTGCTTCTCTTCCTGAGGTGACATATACCTAGTCAATATGGGAATAATTACAATCCCCCATTATTATAGAGTTGTTTATTTTGGTAGCCTCTCTAATCTCCCTCAGCATTTCAATGTCAGTATCACTGTCCTCGTCAGGTAGTCAATAATATATCCCTACTGCTAAATTCTTATTATTAGAGCATGGAATTACTATCCATAGCGATTCTATTGAACATGTTGATTCATTTAATATTTTTATTTCATTTGATTCTATATTATCTTTCACATACAGTGCCACTCCGCCACCCACACGACCTTCTCTATCCTTCTGATATATTTTATATTCTGGTATGATTGCGTCCCACAGATTTTCCTCATTCCACCAGGTTTCAGTGATGCCTATTATGTCAATCTCCTCCTTTAATACGAGGTACTCTAGTTCACCCATCTTATTAATCAGACTCCTAGTATTTATGTAGAAGCACTTGAAAAATTTGCCACTGTTTATTTGTCTGCCCTTCCCTGATGTCTGCCCTTCCCTGATGTATCGGATTTCTTTATATGCGGTTGTTTGTCTGCTCTGGTCTATGGTTTGTCCTCTCTCCTCCTCCCTTTCTGACTACAGCTTAGAGAATCTCTATCAATGGATTCTCCTCTAAGAGAAGTCTCCCTCTGATTTACGTGCATCTCCGCACCAATCGGCTTTCCCCCATCTCTTAGTTTAAAAACTGCTCTACGGCCTTTTTAATGTTTAGTGCCAGCAGTCTGGTTCCACCCTGGTTTAGATGGAGCCCATCCTTCCTGTATAGGCCCCCCCTCTCCCAAAAGTGTTCCCAGTTCCTAATAAATCTAAACCCCTCTGCCCTACACCATCGTCTCATTCACGCATTGAGACTCTGAAGCTCCGCCTGCCTACCTGGCCCTGAGCGTGGAACTGGAAGCATTTCTGAGAATGCCACCATAGAGGTCCTGGATTTCAGTCTCTTTCCTAGCAGCCTAAATTTGGCCTACCCTTTCCTATGTCATTGGTACCTACCACAACCACCGGCTTCTCCCAAGCACTACACTTAAATATTTAAACATTTTAAAAATATGATTGTTTATGGATCGGTATTACCACTTGCTATGTCTGAAATTTGTTTTATCACTTGACTTGTGTAAAGTATATCTACTTACAGTACATGAGTCTCTTCCACCATTCTTATCGCCAGCACACACCATGTTCTTTGTTATAATAGGATTATAATTATAGTGATTCTGATCATTGCAGATTCTTCTGTCGATGATAGTGATATTGACTGCCCTTAGGATATTAGAAGGCTTACGTTGTCCATTCTTAATTATTCCCCATCCTGCTACTTGGCACATTGTTCCTGGTTTGGGATCAGTGTCTGTGTTCGGTAGCTTAATGGTTTTCACAGCTTTATTAATTTTAGCTCTCTTTTGCAGCTATTGGAAAATAAAAATATATGATTATTTCAGGGAGAACTGGTAGTAACCCCTATCTTTAAGTTGCTCAGCATTCTCCATTATGACTATGAAGTATTTCTGCAACCTTTTTTTTTGAGAAGCTATCATACCTTGGATAGTCAACAGCAAAATACCCTGGAGCTAGAGAAGTGCCTTTCATTTGCCCTATGAAACGCCTTTCAGCTTTTGATGAGATGCTATGCAAAATCATAATTTCCCTTCTCTGTTTTATGTTCTCTAGAAAAACATATTGCTAGACATATTTTAAGAAAAAGAAAAAAATAATCTGGGAAACTACAGGCCAGTTAGTTTTATCACAACTATTTGCAAGGTCTTAGAATACATTTTGAAAGAGAAAGTAGTTAGGAACTTAGAGGTAAGTGGTAATTGGGATAAAATGCAGGATAGTTTTACAAAAGGTAGGTTGGGCCAGACCTGCTTGATCTCCTTCTTTGAGATTATAACTAATTGTTTAAAGGAAATGTAGTAAATCTAATGTACCTGGATTTCAGGAAGACCTTAGAAACAATTCTACAAGGGAAATTATCAGTTAAACTGTAGACTATGGGGATTAATATAAGAAAAGAAAGTTGGTTAAAGGAGAGACTACAATGGGTCATACTGAAAGGTGAACGGACAGGCTAGAGAGAAATTACTAGTGGAGATCTTCAGGGATTGGTCTTGGAACCAATCTTATTTTACATTTTTATGAATGATCTTGGTTCAAAGAGTGGGAATGTGCTAACAAAATTTGCAAATGACAGAAAATTGGGAGGTTTTGCCAATATGGAAGTGTCCTGGAATATCATGCAAAAAGATATGGACACTTTGAAAACTGGAGTAATAGAAATGGGATGAAATTTTAATAGTGTAAAATCCATGGTCATGCACTTAGGGTCTAACAACATAATTATTTGCTATAAGATGGGGTTTTATGAGTTGGAAATAATGGAGGAGAAAAAAGACTAGAGTGTACTGATTGATTACAGGATGACTATGAGCTGCCAATGTGATGCAGTCCTGGAAAGACTAGTGCAGTCTTAGGATGTATCATGTGAAGTATTTCCAAGAGAGACAAGAAACTATTAACTGTTAGTAACACTATACCAGGCACTGATCAGACTTCATCTGGACCACTGTAGAATTTTAGTCACCCATGTTTAAGAAAGATTAATTCATATTGGAACGGGTGCAGAGAAGGGCTGCTAGGGATGATCAGAGGAATGGAAAACCTATCTTATGTGACTCAAAGAGCTTGGCTTGCTCAGCTAACCTAAAAGAAGGCTAAAGGGAGATAGGACTGCTTTCTATAAATGCACCAGAGGAATAAATACTGGGGTGGGCTGGATGGGACGAGTTAAGTGACATGGCACAAGAACAAATGGATATAATGGATATAAATAGCATTGATAAGTTTGGGCTTGAAATTAGATGAAAGTTTCTAACCATCAGAGGCATGAAGTCCTGGAACAGCCTTCAGAGAGGAGTACCAGGAGGAAAAAACCTAACCGGCTTCAAGACTGAGCTTGAGAAATTTATGGAGGGGACGGTGATATGAAAATGCCCACAATGGCATAAAGTTGATCTACAACTGCTAATAGGAAATATTTCCAATGGCCAATGATGGGACACTGGAAGGGGAGGACTTTGAGTTACTACCGAGAATTTTTTTCCAGGTGTCTGGATGGTAGGTCATGCCCCCATGCTCAGAGTCTAATTGATCACCATATTTGGTGTTGGGAAGGAACTTTCTGCTGAGTCAATTTGGCAGAGACCATAGTAGTTTTGTGTGGGTGTGTGGTTTTTTTTGCTTTTGCCTTATTCTTCAGCATGAGGCCTAGGTCACCTGTGCGTTTAAACTGATGTAAAATGTGGATTCTCCGTAACTTGAAATCTTTAAATCATTATTTGAGAACTTCAGAAACTCAGTCTAAAGTTAGGGGTCCATTACAGGAGGGCTAGGTAAGATTCTGTGGCTTGCAATGTCCTGGAGGGAAGACTAGATGATCATGATGGTTCCTTCTAGTCTTAAATTTTATGAAGCTGTCAGAAATATAGTCTGGCCAGAGAGCTAGCCTAATAGAGGCAAATGGGAATGCAAACCCAGTGAACTAGAACTGTCATGAGGGAATACAATTTGAATTGAAATACTTTGTTTTTTGACTGAAAAAAATTGCCCAAAATTAAAAAATGTCATAGAGAATTCAGAGTAAAACAGACAAAAAAAGGTTTTGTTGAAATTTTCCATGGAACCACCCACTTTATTTTCCAACCAGTTGTACCTTAGGTGATGTCAGAGCACCTGATGGGGAAAGGAAAAAGAAAAGGGCTGGGTTCAATTCGCATTCTCTGGCCCTGAACCTAGTACATAGCCCCAGCGGCTTATTCCCAGAGGAGTCCATAAGGTTGGAACTCCTGTATCTCCCTAGAGTGGGGCAGAAGAGAGAGAATTAGGCTAGTCTTGGTGACTACCCTGTAGACCTAGAAAAAGTCCTTAGTGGTTCATTGCTGTCCTCTGGAATAGTAACCTTTTCTTCAGCCAGCCAATAGTTAGTCCTCTAGCTAACGTAGCAGAAAACTATACTACAATGTTCAGGATTCAGGGGGTTAACTCTATGGTTGCACAACAAAGGACCTTTTGTAGCTGAATATAACAGAATGTATTTTTGCTTTTTTCCTTTAAAAAAATCCTAGAACACTATGCAGACTCCTCACCCCCCAAAGACAAACCTACATTAATAGAGTGTTATTTAGATTACAAAGTCAAGTTCTTGGGGGATATGATAACAGTTTTCAGGTATCTAAAAGGGTGTCACAACAAGGAGGGAGAAAAATTGTTCTTCTTAGCCTCTGAGGATAGGACAAGAAGCAATGGGCTTAAACTGCCGCAAGGGAAGTTTAGGTTGGACATTAGGAAAAACTTCCTAACTGGAATAAGTTGCCTAGGAAGGTTGTGGGATCTCAATCTCTGGAAATATTTAAGAGCAGGTTAGATAGACATCTATCAGGGATGGTCATGGTATAGGGTCCTACCATGAGGACAAGGGACTGGACTCGATGACCTTTCGAGGTCCGTTCCAGTTCTAGTGTTCTATGATTCTATGAAATTTAGGAAATGACAGATTTACAGTTGCTCATACATTTCATTATCATGTCATTTTTAAATTGTAGGATGATATACTATAATTTTCCACTTAATCCCTGCCTCATTCAGTGCAAGGGTATACCGCCAGGTAACTGTAAGTTGAGCTTTTCCTAATTTTCAAGTGTTCGACAAAGCAATGTAAATGTCATTGGAAATTTTAAAAACTAATGTATAGCTTAAAAAGATTAAAAAATATTAAATGGCACAATAGAATTGACTAACAACACTCCTAATAACATTAAATTATACAATACTTTGCACAATATGTATTTAACCTATTCAGGTGTCATGTATAGGCAGTTATGTGCACAAAAATATTTTTCTACAGTCAATGCTCCTTATAAGAATTCAAAAGACTGAACAGGGAGTTTGGGAAAGTATAAAATGACAAATGAGTGAATGAAAAACAGATCAATAAATCAGAAATATTGTATAACTAAATATTTTATCTTGAGTCTTTCTAGGGTGGAGGGTGGCATCAAATCTCTCAGGACAGAGAGTTGCATTTTCTTAAAATTATTTTTAATAAAAAATTTTGTACCTTCAAAAGCATAATATCATTTTCTTTTTCTTGTTCATTATAGCATGGGTAGCGAACTGCTCTTGAAATTTTAAAAGTCTGTTGTTCTTCCTCTTTCTCTGAAATTGAATGAGCTCCAAGAAGAACTTTGCCTTTATCACTGAAAAACGAAGAATAACATAATTAACTGTGTTCCTCATTCAAAACTATACATATATTCAGTAGTGATCAATCTCTCATGCCAAAGGTACAAATGATAATTAATAAAATAATAATAAACAGCATATTCTTATTAATAATTTATAATTATAAACAGTACAATTAGCTAATGTATACTGATTAGCTATAAACTGATGTAGATATGTCAGTACATATACTGATTTTGCAGAATCTTGGAGGGGCTTCAGATTTCAGGATATAACTCTGTCCCTACAATTTTGGATCTGGGATTGACACAAAAGAAGACGAAATCTATTTTCAGTTTCCAGTTTGTACACATCAGAAATTTGATGAGAACAGGTATTCTGAGGACAGAAATCTTACAGGAACTGACAGTGTGTGATTTCTGCCACTTCAGATAAGCTTATGAAATCTGTATGCAATTTTATCTGAAATCTGAACTGCATCATTGCTTTGGCCTTGAATCTGATTCCCAAACTTCTGAAATATTTCTGATCAGGATCTCAGTACTGTCTCCTCTGTCCATATCTAATTCAGCTCAGTTTCCCCTCCCCCTCTTGACTGTCCTGCCTTCTCACAGACTCACTGGACAATGGAGGTCTGGCTTACTCATCTGTGCTTGCTGGAGGTTCCTGAAATGGATGCTCAGGGTTCCATATTCTTCTCAGCTAATCAAAGATCAGGTTTATATCAAATCATACCACTAATTGCTCTAGTGGCTTTAAAGTATAGTGTGATCACACAGAAGGATGTTGCACATGCATTTAATTTGAGCTGGGAGAGCTGGAGGACATTTAAAGTTTATTCCAACCTCAACAAGATTTGCCATTCCACCCATTCATGCACTGGGCGCAAGGCTATGGGGAAATGGTCCTTTCTATGTGGGTAGTTAACTGCTGACTGAACTTCGTTATGTAAGCTAGCTTTTGCATGTTCTCTTTGTTCAGGTACAGCTAGAATGATTTTTGTTTTCCATAGGTTCCTATATGCTAATATTGTAACTGTGGGGTTACAATGTAGTCTTTGGGTTGCATGTAGTCTTTACAAGAAGCTAAATACCTGCTTGGGCTGCGACCATACTAATTAATATTTCTCTCTTTGAATTGTGGGATCCAATACTTCATTGGGATTGGACAACTTGCCAGCATAGATTGTGTGTGGTCTAGCTTAGTGGCAACTCTTACTCTCTTGAGGGGATAAAAGGTGGAATAACATTTTAAATCTCATAACCAGACCTGGATGGGTCAGATAATTTATTTGGATAGTTAGCTATTTGCACCTTGGGGTCTGTCAGTCAGGAGAAAAGTGGACTCACAAACTAAGTTATTAAGGCCACCCTTTGCTGAAAGGTTCATCTTCATTTGTTTATTTTGTTGCTATATCATAAAGTTATTTAATAAAGAACATAATACATATATATATTAACACATAAATAAAAAAGCTATTTTATTTAGTGTATCTTCAGGTAATGAACTGCATTAATCTTCTACAGTAAAATGACACAAATTTCTTTCCACTTTCATGGGAGCTATTTTGGACTGTTTTGTACTTTGTTTAGCAGAATTATGATTGAATTAAAAAATGGTCATTAAGTATTTCTCATAAGTTAACTGTCAGTAGTCTATGCTTGTGTCCGAACAGGGGTAAATGTAATCTCTTTGCCTATAGATTTAAGGTTAGAGCACCTTGTTATGGCCATAATTATTCACAAAACACTGAAACAGAGAGCCCAGTTACTGTACTTGGTTGCCAATGTAAATGCTAAAATGTAATAATAAGATTACGATCCCAATTACACTAGCTATACAAAATATATAATAGATATTAATTTTCATGCCTCAAGAGAGAAGTTAATTGTCTGGAGATGAAAGAACTTTCCCTCAAAGGTATGTTATTGCATAATTGTTCATTATGATAGAATACTCAACTAGATGGAACCTTTTATTTGTTATTGCAATCTCTAAAGCATGCTAGATTTACATTTCTACAGTATCTTCAAGCATTAGCTTTGGTTCACATTGTGTATTATTTAGTGTGCTATTGAATAAGTCAGAACATTCCATGAGCTATAAATCCTTAGAATAACTTACATTTTACAATGGGCTGCAGTTAATACCCAATTTTCTTTGATCAAAGCTCCTCCACAATATTCATTCCATTTGATTAAGGCCATATATGGTCTTGAATGTGGAATCACTTCAACCCCTCCAATGATATCCACACATGAATCTAAAAATGAAAATAAACCAGAGTTTGGATAATATATAATATAAAAAAATCCATTAATAGAGAATGGGTTAGGCTAATAATACAATAAAAAGCATATAAATATATACAGACTTACAGTGCTGGATGTAGCTGTACTTGGGGTGGAATTTTCAAAACTGGTCTGTTAGCCTATACACATATGGCATATATAGGCTATATATGGAGGGGATTAAGTATTTCCACATTCAAGACCATATATGCTTCCACTGAGTTCAATGGGAACAGAGTTAGGACAATGCTGAGTGACTTTGAAAATCCCACCCTAAAATACTAATGGTCTTGTGGGCAACATTACTTGCTTGAACTGCAGTTGTTTCCACTGCTAGTTTCAATGGCTTTTATTATATCAAAGAATTCTGCATCTGCCACTGTGTAAAAATGTGAAAAGTATATTTATAAGTGTATTCTGACAAAAGTAGATATATAATTCATCAGATAAATCAGATAAAACATTAAATTAACATTTTTTTTCAAAAAAGGTTGGAAATAAAGAGATTTATGCCAACTGCAGTTTCATTTCAGATTGAATTTTCTGACTGCTGCATAAATACCCATCTTATGAGAAGGGGATGCAGGCAAGGTCAATACAACTCTTTTAGACTCCAGGTAGAGATTTTCCCTTCATATAGTATTTTAGATGTATCATAAGGCCTAACTTTTACTATCAATAGAAATAAAATAAAAATATTTTCTTTCTCTTACTTACTGATAACTTCATTATTAGAATATATCTAGTTACATCCTGCTCTACACGTCATGAACTACAATGACAGTGGATAAAAGCAGCACTTACCTCTAGGAATCACCAAGAGGAAAATGGTAGCAGAAGCAGACAAAATGAACAAAAGCCCCATTATTGCTGCAGTGTGATCTTCTATAATAAGTGTCCAATATATACTGAAAACAAAAAAGGATGTGGGTTTAAGGTCATCTGACAACCTATAAATGCCCCCCCTCCCACACTCACAGAATAATTTATTGATGTCATGAAGATGGTGTCATTTCTAGGAATATTGCCTGTATCATGTAGTTGATGAGGCATCAGACTAGAAGCCCTTGAATAGGACTGTCCAGAAAACAAGTTCAGAATTCTGTAAATTGGCATTAGCTGACAAAAAATGTTTGTTTAAAACAATTCTGAACAGCTCTACCTCTGAGGTTAAATCCCAGCCCTAATATTAGCTCATTGTGGGCATGTCTACACTAGGAAATTATTTCAAAATAATTTATTTTGCAATAATAACTCCTGAAATAACTATTTTGAAATAAGCATTATTCCTTGTGGAAAACGGGAATTATTATTTCAAAATAAACAGCCGTATTTGAAATAACGGGGTTGGTAGTGTGGATGCTCTGCTTTTTATGTCAAAATAAGGAGAGTTATTTCAAAGTAACTCCTTAGTGTAGACCAAGCTGTACGTCCTTGAAAAAGTCACTTAACCTGGCAAGCCCACTGAATCTCAGGGTGTGTCTAGACTACATGCCTCCTTCGACGGAGGCATGTAGATTAGCCAGATCGGAAAAGGGAAATGAAGCCGCGATTAAAATAATCGCGGCTTCATTTAAATTTAAATGGCTG